TCTGTTAGGCCGATGCGTTCGTGGCGGGACTTTTATTTTGACGGCGCTGAAAACGGCAGCGCCTGAACACACAGTGCTCACATTCTGCCTCTTGTTCGCTGTCGTCGTTAAAGGAACACTCCGCTATTTTTGAAAATAGGCTCATTTTCCAACTTCCCTAGAGTTAAACAGTTGAGTTTTACTGTTTTCGAATCCATTCAGCCGATCTCCGGGTCTGGCGGTAGCACTTTTAGCTGTAGCTTAGCATAGATCATTGAATCTGATTAGACCATTAGCATCTCGTTCAAAAATGACCAAAGAGTTTCTATATTTTTCCTATTTAAAACTTGACTCTTCTGTAGTTACATCGTGTACTAAGACCGACGGAAAATGAAACGTTGTGATTTTCTAGGCCGATATGGCTAGGAACTGATGATATTATGCAATGATATTATGCAGCGCCTGAAAATAGGCTTATTGGAAGTTACCTAGCTGGGACTATTTTCATGCGCTGCGTAATATCATTGCGCCTGCTGCACCCATGGTACGGTCTAATCAGATTCAATGATCTATGCTAAGCTACAGCTAAAAGTGCTACCGCCAGACCCGGATATCAGCTGAATGGATTCGAAAACGGTAAAACTCAACTGTTTAACTCTAGGGGAGTTGGAAAATTAGCCTATTTTCAAAAATAGTGGAGTGTTCCTTTAAAGAAAATAAAAGCTGTTCATTACCATAACATGTCCAGATGTATAAACATAAAATGTAACATGAACATATATAGAATTAGAACACATTATCAATTATATAACATCAATAGTGATTATCAATAATTGCAGATTTATTTATTATTGCTCTGCAAATCTGAGTACAGTTTGAGACATTGTTGAGATCTATTTTGGGACTATTCTATTTGGTTACTGGGGCATTTCTCCGTCAAAAAACTTGAGAAGCAGGAAGTAAAAGTCTCAGTTTGTTCACCATTTAAAAAAAAAAAAGCGATATTAAGGAGATTTGAATTCCTACAGTTGCCCATAATTGAGCGTTACAATAGGCGCGTTTCCATTACCCTTCAAATTGCGCAAATTGAAATTGCGAATTGAAAATACGCCTAATGGAAACCCGTCAATTTCGCAAAAACGCCGATATATCGCAAAAACGTTTTTACGCTCGCATGAGGTGGTTTTTCAGGCAATGCAAAAAAGGAATACCGTCATTTCACAATACTTTTTTATCGACATTTATAAAATATCGCCGAAGTTTTGCGCAAATCTGTAATGGAAACGCGCCTACTGTCTCCTGGTCATTTTGCTACGAGTGATCAGCTCTCACTGGTTATAGTTTGCAGCACTGGTAGAGTGTGTCGTTTTCATGTTTCTTTCTTTTACCTCTGTTGTCTGAGTGTTAGATGTTTGTCTGATTTTTGGTATCTTGGTTCTCTAGTCTGTAGTTCTGTTTCTTTACGTTTTCCGGTATCTCAGCAGTAGCAAGGCTGTGCCAAGCTTTTATCTGGTTGCCCGGCGGAGGATTGAATTGCTGGTTAGTTCTTGATGACTGGATTTAGTTTCTCCCCTCTGTGGTTTACACCATTAAGGGTTTGAATGGAGACAGTACTTGTGATTCTAACCTCTCTGAACCCTGGAGACCGTTTGACATAGAAATATCTTTATCTAAAGCTAGAAGTTGTTGTTGATGGTCAAAGAAGAACTGAAGGCTGTTTATGCTTGTTTCATTCTTATCAGCTGGTGCAAATTTAGTATTGTGTTGCTGGTCGATTTGACAGCTTTTGATATTTTTATACATGTATAAAATTTCATACATTTCCAAAATGTTGGATATTTTATATTTATAATAAACATTTATTTATTGATGGCCTTGTCACAAAACTGAAACCATTAAAACTGTTTTCATTCATTTAAATAAAGCTGGAATAAAACAAATATAAATATTAGATGTTGACTTGGCAACTATCTGAAATAAAATATGAGTTTAATTTGAAGTACAGAAATGATAAAAATTGACATAAAAATAAATTAAAGCTAAATAGAAATATTAAAAAATGACAAAAGTATAATGAATTTAATAAAATGTAAATTAATCTAAAAATAAAAGCTAATTCAGAATATTAATACATTTTAGTAAATAAGTGCTACTGAAATTACATGGGATTGTATATCATTTTAAGCAGTCTGTAAAATTTAAACCGATGTTTAAAAGTGGCAGTGAAGGTAAACCTCAGCTATCGTTTCCCCTCATCATCATGATGATTTTGGATGGATATACAGTCGGTCTTAGTGAACGCGCAGACATTGCCTCAAAATGACAAAAGTATAATGAATTTAATAAAATGTAAATTAATCTAAAAATAAAAGCTAATTCAAAATATTAATACATTTTAGTAAATAAGTGCTACTGAAATAACTCTGATTACATGGGATTGTATATCATTTTAAGCAGTCTGTAAAATTTAAACCGATGTTTAAAAGTGGCAGTGAAGGTAAACCTCAGCTATCGTTTCCCCTCATCATCATGATGATTTTGGATGGATATACAGTCGGTCTTAGTGAACGCGCAGACATTGCCTCATGTTTGTCGCCAGAGCTGGACTCAGCTGTGCTATCATGTTCCAGTGTGTGATGTCCGACAGCTCCCATCACCGCACGAGACACCGGGAGCTGTAAATATTGATGCTGTCTCAAACAGGATCTCTTTCACCACAACTGTCAGTGTTTGGGGAAGAGAAGAAAATGATGATGGAAAAAGAGCCTTTTATGCTTTTCACTGACACTGAAGCTAGTGGTAGCTACTGACTGCTGTCTGGATCTATGTTTAGTTTCTTTAATGATTTGTGCAAGATTTAAAAGAATAGTTAACCCCAAATTTTAATTATTGTATGATTTACTTATTCTCATGTCATTCCAAACCTTTTTCAGTGGAACACAAACAGGAAATATTTTCCATCACACATTTCTTTTCTGTCTACAGTGACCGTTATTGTCACCATGATTATCAGGCTCTCAAAGGTCAAAACAAAACCAAGCAGCAAACAAACAAACACCATAAAACACTATAGAAGTGTAATCTACATGGCCTGTCTTGAAGTAATAATATTTCACAATATGACAATAAAAAAATGGTACCATCCTCAAACGGTATTATATGTGTAATGTTGCAATGAAGGGTTTTCAGTAAATAAACTTACATTTTAGATTATTCCTCAGGCAAAAGCTGTCCAAATGGATTTAGAATTCTCTGAATAACACACATGCAAGTCATTAACCGTATGAACTACTTTTGTGACTACATCTGTGGGGTTTTATGGTGAAAAATAAACCTTCCCTCAGAAATATTCGCTGGACTATAAAGCTTGACAAGCAGTCCTGGTCTCCCATATGTGATTAGGTTTTATTTTACTTCATTTATAGTAGAAAGGTGACAGGAAATGGTAGGGAGAACAGGTGGGATGTGCTCAGGAAATGACCTAAGCGTACACATCACCCACCAAGCCACACCCACAGCATAGTTTTTAAGTTTAAAAATAAGAGAAATCTTAATAAATAAATACACTGCCAAAGATTTAGTTCATATGGCACAAAATCTGCAAATGGGTAATTAAATGTAACAAATCATTAAAAAAAATATTTTATTGGAAAATTAAACTACATTTGATCAAACTTTGATCTTTCAAACAACTAAGAAGACAGTGATCGAACTACATTTTATAAAAATCACTTGTAAATTTCAGTGATTTCATACTCACATGCGTTATGTATGTATTAGGTACGTTACAGTCTCTGACAGACAGCATGTTTAAGCTGCTCAGGCTGCCATTTTTTTCTTCTCAGAAGGCGATGGCGTAGTCAAAACATCCAGTAGTCTGGGTTTTTTTTCAGGAAATGCGTGTACACCCTGGACCTCTGCCATGTATCGTGCGTGTCATTTTTGACAGACATCGATGCGCAAAATAGATAGACAAATTATGTGGATTTGAAAACAGATAGATCGTAAGGTAATAATCATTTATTTCTTAGCCAACAAGTATACAGTGAAGTGATTTATGCCTATGGGTGTTATGTAAATGTTTTTAGTTGTAATATTTCAACCGGCAGCCAGCCTAAGTTTTTGACGGACATGGTGATAACATGATTTTTGGGTATTATAAAATTTGCTTGAGATGTTTGAAATGCTTTTTGCGTAGTTCATTGTACTTATTTTACAGAATGTTTATTTTGTGGCTTAAATAAATTAAATATCACAGAGACTGACATGTTTGGCTTGTCAAAAACGTTCAGCTGTTGCAAATTCATTGACTTTTTTTTTAACCAGAAAAGGAGTGGTTTTGATGCACAAAGTTTGTCTCTAACAACAAAAATATTTTATTTTAACCCATGAAAGTACAGATCCTATTGTGAATAATAGTGAAAAAAAAAAATCACTTTTTAAATCATTTGTTTCATTATTACCCCTTATCAGATTTGGTGATTGATTTTGCAAACATAATATCTGATGCACATCATTGACTTAACACATCCTGATGTTAAAGTTAGTGTTTCTGTCTTCATCAGCGTCCTTTGAAGAGAGTTAGTGAGCGTTGTGCATGGGTAATGAGTCAGACTCAGCCCCGGTGGAGCTGCGTGCTCGCATGCATCGGTAATGAGACCCGTTTTAGTGATGCTCGGTGGCAAAAACATGATTACGTGCCTCTCCGATCGCTCTATATCAGCTTCCTGCATGAGCAATTGCTTTTATTTTGCTGCATATTATTTTTGACAACTTGGATCGATCTCAGGATTAATCTTCTTTGGAGTTTTTTCCTGCAAAATCTTAACTGAAGCACAATCTTGACAGAAGCAGGAGCATTTGATCCCCGACTCTGAAAGGTCACCCTTTACGCTTATGAAACAGTGTGGAGCTGTCCGTGAGTTTTGAATTCAGTTATTGAACATCCGTTTTATCCATTTGGACCAAACAATACGCAGCAGACATGGGTAAGCATGGCTACATTGATTAGCATTAAGCTTTTATTGTGTTATTGAGATTCAGGCAATGGAAAAAAGCTGCATATTGTTATTCGGAAAACTGTTTGTCATCAAAAGAACAAGTCTAGAAAATAAGAACATAATGATTCACTATCACCTTTTCTAATTACAGCTTGATATTTATGGATCTCTTGATGTAAACAGCAGCTTGAATTATAAAATCTTATTGGACCTTAATTTCACAATATTTCAGCTAATAATAGAGGTGCTTTTCGACAATGTGACATACCCGTAGAGGACTGAGCTGCATACAGGTTGTTCTTTTCCTCTTCGAGATCTGTCTATTTTTGATTCTGTCGCTGCATAATTAACACTTTGTTTAACAGGTCCTTTTTAAGTTGAGAGAAAATAAAACCTATGAATATGCATCTAGTCTATTACGAGCTGCCGGGCTCTAAATATAGAAGCGCATTAAATATTCATGTTCCACCTGCAGGCGGTGTTTTAGCTGGTGAATGATAACGCTCCCCTCATCATGGACTTCCTCACTTTTATCAAACATCTATAAAATATTCAGCGGCCCAGGACGGCCTCTCCGGTTATGCCGTCTGATAACCGATAGATAGATGGATAGATAGATGGATGGATGGATGGATAGATAGATAGATTGATAGATTGATAGATGTTTTAAAAATAGATTTAATTTTATTTTCGGAAAATATTTTATAATTAAAATATTAAAATATACTTATAATTTATAATTTTTTTTTTTTTTGCTCTTTTGATTTTGGGGTGAAACATGACCTGGACATATTCTTGACAGGCTTCATGAGATTCACCCAGAAAGGTCCCCTGCCATTTGACACCAATGACAGCTCACTCAGCACTTTATCAATTTTTCACCGCACACATCTTTTCGTTTGTCTATCGCTGACTGACCAAACATTCATCACAATAACTCTCACATCCATCTGCGGTACGTCTCAGAGCCGTTCGGAGTGCAATTTCTCACTGTGATCTTATCAAAAACCACTTGAAAAATGTGACTTTTCACTTGATTGGGCAGCTCATACACAACTTTTCAAGTTTCATAACAATTATTGGTTTTGAATATATTGTAGGCTCTTTTGTTTGGGTATTACAGGAAAAATGCTGTCATCATTATTTATTGTGAGGCTCACTTTCTTCTGAAGAGATGCTCTTTCCATAGAATCAAAGTGAATGAATGCTGTCCAGGGGCTGTCAGCTTCCAAAAAAAGCATTTCATACAGTGCAATTTGTTATATTTGTGTTATATAACCAGCTTTATGTATGTAAGGAACAGACCTTTACTTTGTTTTGGAATATTGTAGAATAATTTGAATTTCCCAGTTCATTTCTTCTGTGAGACGTATCATTTCCGGGAGCTGTTGTGGCATTATGTATTCAGGCTGGATGGATGAAAGCCTGTATGTGCGGGTGAGACTCAGAGCATGTTTAATTACCACCAGCAAACTGGATGGCAGCTTTGATGCCAACCACCTGCTAATTGCATTTCTGCTGGGCAGATAACAAGGTCAGCCTGCCGTGCCCTCAGTGTTGGTGGGACTTCAAGAGATGTTCAGGAGTGTTGAAAGCAGAAGATTTGAGAGGTTGTAAAGACCTGAGTACAGTAATAATAGTGTTTCTTGATGCAAAAATCACTACTGATTGTTTCCAAACAGGTTTCTAAACACCTACTGCCATTTCCACCCCGCTCCACATCTGCAAGGATGTTGTATTTTTGTAGGCCAACCCAGAAGTTAGCATCACCCTGGCTCCCTCGCCAAAACCCAATAGGATTTTTCCATTAGCTTTTGAATTTATACAGAAAATAAGCTCTGTGACTAACAAAAGTTTGACTCTTACACGTTTTGCTATCATTTAATACAACTTTTGGTGTCTAAATACAATAGCCAATAGTAAAAAGATAAAAGTAGGCAGACTAACTACTCATCACTTTAACGTCATCACCATTAAGCTTCTGACAACTCTTTAATTAGTTTTTATTTAATAGTTTCCCTTAAATTTTGAGTTAGAGTAGTTTGCAAGAGTACTCTTCTAAACAAAATGAGTGGACAAGTAGATGAGTTTACTTATTAGGTCTTATGATACTGTATTTAATGTCCCTGACAACCTCTGTTGTCCCATTTAACCACTTGTTAGCAACTGCCTTTTTTCTTGAAAGTAAAAGCTTTAAAATATATATAACAAGGGGTCAGGGTTGCCAAGTCTGCATAACAAAATCAGCCCAATTGGTATTCAAAACTAGCCCAATCACTGCCAAAGTTATCCCAGTTGCCCCTTCGCTGGGAGTTTGATTGACAGGTGATCTGACCAATCATAACACCGAATCTGCCATTTTTGTCCAACAAACAAACCAGACCAGAGAGTAGATTGACGTTGGTGTACTTGAACTTGAAAACGATGTGTATTGACGTCTTTCTGCGGTTGAAAGAAGATACCTTCTGATGTTCATTCATGTTTATCTTATGCTATAACTAGTAACGAGGAAGAGATGATCGGTTCATGTGCCACTTAAACTGAGGCGCCACAGCGATCTGTAACATCACATTAAAAAGCCGCGAAACGGTATTTGTTGTTTGAATTTCTTTAAAAAATGACAACATTTGAAAGCTGAGACTTTGTTTTATACCAAAAGTAACCTGGCTCTGTCCTGTCTGTCGGCACGTTGTCAGTTTTCTCTTTGCTTAGTGATGTTTTTTTTAACTGCTTGAGAACCTGATGTGTGGCCTGAGAGCGCATGGCTTGTCGGACATAGCAACAGTAACAAAGGGGGGCGGGACTTTGTGAAGGGTCAGTTGTTTTCTGGGGGAAAATGACTGTCAAAATTTCATCAAAATCGCCTTCCACCTTAGTTGAAATCATGTTCCAGGGGGTGGGGGGTTTTGCTTCTACCCACAGACTGAAAAAACAACTGGCAGCAACAGTATAAAATTAGCCCAATTCTGCAGGAAAACCGTGGACTTGGCAACACTGCAAGGGCATTGTTACTGGTGTTTTTTATGTCATAGAATAAAACATGAAAATCTGTGTTTGTGATATCCACAGACCTTATTTCAAGCACTTAAACCATTCAAAAACCCATTGACTTCAGGACAATGAAACCAGAAGTGTTTAAATGCTAATTTATTTACAGGCTTTGGCCTACAAACATACGTCATCCCTACAGTGCTCTAAAAGTCAGACAAACCAGGTGGCTCCGCCCCCAAACTCATGCCATTGGTTGAGCCTAAACTTTGCATTGTTCATTTCCTCTCACATTAATTTTGACAGTTTTGTTTGTCAGCTGCACCAGCATCACCGTTTCCGAACCTGTTTGTTGTGGGACCTGCGCATGAGGTTCTGGACAAATATCCCATTATTCACTGTCTTTGGCTTCACAGTTGACACACAAATGACTCATTTAAGACTGCAAATCGCTTCTCCAACCACAGCAAGTTGTCATTCATCTCATTTGGGGTCTTGTGTTCTCCTGTGATTCTAACTTCCTGTTCTCTCACCGTCAGGTGATGTGGGTATGCAACCTGTGCCGAAAACAACAAGAAATCCTCACCAAGTCAGGGGCCTGGTTCTACAGCAGCCCAGGGGGCACCCTGCCCTCGGGTGCGAGTGACCCTCGCCGACGCCACGAAGAGGCTCCGCAGGAAAAGAAGGCCAAACTTCAGGAAGCCCCACTGCTGTACCAGGGGCCTCCAGGGGACCGCAGCCGAGCTCCAGGACTCCCGCGCCAGGCTTCCCTCAACAACGACTCCAGTCTGAAGCCCAACGACCCTCTGAGCAACAGGTGAGTGCAGATTATATGGGTTAATGTGTTTTAGTGTTGAAACATTTGCACTTGCAATAACCTTGCATTTAGAAATCCTTATTCTGTTTAAACAGTAGCACTCTTCAAGTTATTCATGCTACTTTAAGAAACCAGATTTTTGCTGAGGTAGTTTGTAGTTACTGGGTTGTTGCTAGGTTGTTACTAAGTGGTTTCTAGAATGTTCTGGATGTTTTCTAATACATTCTTAAATGGTTGCTAGGGTATTCTTGTGGTTGCTACGGTGCTGCTAGGCAGTTGCTTGGGTTTTCTGGGTGGTTACTAGGGTGTTGCTAAGAAGGTTGTTAGGACATTTATAGATGGTTGCTTTGATGGTTTGGCTAGTTTCTAGAATGTTACTGTGGGATGTTTAATATATCATTTCAGATATATTTATTAGTAGTTAAAATTTAAATTTGAAATTGAACTGAAAATGAAATTAGTTCATTTTTCCTTACTATTAATTTAAACTAAAAGTTCATTCCACTTAATAAAAAAAGTTATGTGAACTCAATAACTAATTATATTAAAGAGTTAGTTCACCCAAGAATGAAAATTAGCCAATGATTTATCCAGCCTTAAGGCATCCTAGGTGTATATACTTTCTTCTTTATAATTTTCTTCTCTTGCTTTATAATGGCAGTGTGCGGGTGTTTTCGTTCAACAGTCCAAAAGACGTCCAGTAAAGTGAATCCATCCATAATTAACAGTACCTCGCATGGCTCAGGGGGGTGAATAAAGGCCTCCTGGGGCGAAACGATGCATTTTTGTAAGAAAAATATATATATTTAAAACATTAGTAGCAGTTTTCTCTAACTTCCGCTGACATGACCTGGGGGTGAGTAAATTATCAGGACATTTTCATTCTGGAGGTGAAATAACAAGGTTGAAATAAACCTTTAAGTTTCAGTAAAATTAAATAATTGAGTGAAGTTTAATTGTAATTTAGGAAATAGTCTTTTAGTGAACCCTTTGGCTTTTACAGTACATGTATGAAAGGTATCTGGTTTTAACCACATGTGCATACATAGACCATGTGAAATTGAAGCTTGGGTAACAACAGCTGGAGTACACAATGCATTCGTTCAGGTTCCATCTGTTTTTCCTCCGTTTACCATTGCTAATTTGGTGCTAAACATGCTAGACAGGTAAATAACAATCCGTAATTTATGGTGAAACCTGCTCTTGAACAAATGCAGGGAGTCATAACACATTTATCAAACATTACGCCCCTGATCTTCAGGAAGATTCTAATTCAGTGTGAACAGTGAGTGCTATTCCATCGTTTACCACACGGTGGCAGTGTCTCTCTGAGCCCATGTATCAAATTCTCTCTGTTTTTTGCTGGGATGGCCATATCATGGGGTCAAGGGTCAGTCCTAGAGAGATGTCTCTGTAGAAACAGATGCCCGCTCCCTTGAATCCGTGGCGACTGCTGTGTGTTGGTTTGATTTTCCGTTCCTGAATACCTGCGGAGGAGAGGAATGTTGGGCCGTGTGCCACAGGGATGGGGCTGATCTCACCTGTCATTAGTGTATGTGTGTGTGTTGTGTTGACGTGAGCACATTTGAATGACAAACCCTGAAAATGCAGAAATTGTGTGTTTAGACGTAATCTTTTAGTGTATGGATGTACTGGAGCGAGTTCTGTCATTACTTAATTGTTGGTCTGTGTTCATGTGTAGGATGTTTATTGTTTTTAAGACAACTTGTGTCAAGTTAAAAATGTACCTTAAATTCCCTTCAGTGTTTACACTACCATTCAAAAGTTTGAGGTTGGTGCGATTTTTTAAAATTAATTAATTAATGAATTAATTTACTTGTTTGTTTTAATGTTTCAAAAAAAGTATCTTATGCTCATTTATTTGACCAATAAACACAGTAAAGCAGTAATACTGTGAAAAAGGGCTGCACGATAAATCGCATGCTATATTTAATGCGCATCTTGTCAGAAAAGCCGGTTCTGTAATCAGCGGTAAATCTCCATCACGTGCATGCTTTCACATGGAGCAGCATTAACTACACAGAGCTGTTGTTCATTGACAGTGACACGTGATGGAGATTTACCGCTGATTACAGAAGCGGCTTTACTAACAAGATGCGCATTAAATAACGCATGTGATTTATCGTGCAGCCCTACTGTGAAATAATATTACTATTGAAAATAAATGTTTTCTGTTTTAACATATTTTAAAAACTACTTATTCCTGTGATGGAAAAGCAGAATTTTCAGTGTCACATGATCCAGTGTCACATGCATGTCCATGATCTATTATCAATATTGAAAAGAGTTGTGCTGTTTTTAATATTTTTGTGGAAACCTATATTTACATATTTATTTATTTAACCCTAACTTTTGAACATTTTATCAGTTTGTGTTTTAACTGAGAATTAGGGCTGGGTATCGAGTTCGATGCTTTTTAGGCACCGACCGAAATGCCTCGATACCATCGAGTATCGAAAAACGTCTCGTCGTTCGGTACCAAATTTCGATACCTAAGGGGTTAATCTCAT